CTAAATTCTGCCCTGCTATAGGTCCAAAGCAGTTTCTTTATTCATTAATGGTAATCACAGCATACAGAGAGAAATCCCACATCACCTCTTCTTTTCTGTTTAAATAAAAAGAAAGTTTTGAACTGTAACATAGTAAAATTACATATGACAAAGCAGGTATAAAGCAAGAATTACAGTTACAATATTTATATCTATTTTATCTTTTATTATAACTAAGAAAAACTGTAACTATAACTATAAATTCTTCAACTCCATCAAAGACTCCAGAAGGATATAATATTATCTAAGTAAACAGGAAGTGCGTTGTAAGCAACTTCCAAAACTCTAAAATTGACAGAGACATCTTGCTGCCTGGACAGTTACCCAAAGTTCTTATGTACCATTGGGGCATCCATCTTTAGCTCACAGGCTCATAGTATCCAGCAGACTTTTCTGTGAAGCAGGAAATTTCATAGACAGTTCCACTTATATTGGCAGCTTGTCTGTCACATTTTCCTGTGTCCTGCAGAATATTTAGCAAACTCTTTTGTGTAGCAGGAACCCTGAAGGATGGTCTCCCCTTTTGGCAAGTTCAGCAGTCATTTCATTATGGTTCCCACATGTCCAGTTTATCAAGCAGTCCAGGCAAGAGCAGTTTCTTGCCCAAATGACTGACAAACTCCATAAGGATCCTCTTCGATGCCCATCTTCCTCTTGAAGCAGAATCACAGCATACAGAGGGAAATCCCACATCAGTTCTGCCTCAGTGCTGTGCTGTCCTCCTCTGGCTGGAGGCGCAGATGGTGCAGGTTCGGTGGCTTCGCGCCTCACCTCATTCCCTTACAGCCGCTTTTCTGTGAGTGTCTGCTCTGCTAAGTTCCCTGGTTTCCTCAGGACGGCATCGACATGAGCCGGGTGGCCGTGATGGGACACTCCTTTGGAGGAGCTACAGCCGTTCTTGCTCTGACTCAGGAGGTCCGGTTTCGGTGAGTACCGGTGATGCTGATGCCATCAAGCTGCACACACCTTTCACTCACTCACTCACTCACTCACTCACTCACTCACTCATTCATTCATTCATTCATTCACTCATCCCGCAGGGATGTGTTGCACAAGGGTTGTGTTCTGGGCACTTCACACACCGTTCATTCATTCACTCATTCATTCCTTCAGCAGGGATGTGTTACACAAAGGTCATGTCCTGGGCATGTCACACAC